CTTCAAAGGAACTCCAAGAGAAAAGACAGTGCCATGCTATTTCCACCATACTACACGTTGTGAAAATGAAACCAGTTGTCTCTATCTTCACAACGATCAGAGTGCATTGCAGGAGAAATGCGTTTTGAGAAGGGAGCAGTGTAATGATATTCCTCTTAAAGGGGCTCTAGAAACATCAGCAGGAAGGCAGGAGTACAACAATCATCCTGAATTACGCATTCCAAATCGTTCTTCAATCTCCCATTGATTCCTTCATGCACCAGCATATCTCCGAACACTCAATATATGCCGCGGTGACGGATAACGTGACAGAAGATTCTGGAATGTTCTGGAAACAATCGATGGAACAATTAGAGAGAGAGGTATTGTTCTGAGAAGCTTCCAGAACAGAAAGAAGGAGACGAGAGATCATTCGAGAACGTTCTCGAACCAAAGCGTACCAATCGATCTCATATATAAGACGGCCGAACAACTGCGTCAGTCAGTTAAGCAGCGAGTGTCAGAGAGACATTTATATACCGCGTGATATAAATCGTTTTACATGAATAGTAGTTATAAGTTCGATATAAATAAGTGTTTCTTTAGTTCGAAAAAATCAGTTCGAGAATAAATAGTGTCGTGTTCGCTTCTGCACCCGAATAACGTAGCAATTGGTGTCTGAAGTCTGAAACGCGAGTTGAAGGAGAGAGATCTCGACACAACAGGGCTCAAGGCTACTCTTCAGCATCGTCTCGAAGAGTATATGGTGAGCGTAGGTCAAGATCCAGAGACGTTCACCTTCGAGGAACCAGCTTCAGCGGAATCGATGTTAATAACCCTCGAGGTTGGTGCGGATATTTCTATATTGATAAAAAAAAATCGAATGAGTACCTATCTTACTGTATTTTGTAAAATTTGTTAGGCTATTTCAATTGAGAATTAGGAATATGATTATTGTTGTATGAGAATGTTTGTTTTGTATCTTGTTGGAGAGCTATTCTTCTGTTCACTAAAAGTACATTATGTTTTGACATCATAGGTTTATTCCATTATTCTTTCTTAGAATTCGTATAGCACTGAATGAATCTTGATCAATCCTCTCGAAAAGATATTACTGTATTTTGTAAAATTTGTTAGGCTATTTCAATTGAGAATTAGGAATATGATTATTGTTGTATGAGAATGTTTGTTTTGTATCTTGTTGGAGAGCTATTCTTCTGTTCACTAAAAGTACATTATGTTTTGACATCATAGGTTTATTCCATTATTCTTTCTTAGAATTCGTATAGCACTGAATGAATCTTGATCAATCCTCTCGAAATCAACTGAATTTCAGACGGGGTAGTTGGTGATGGAATGGAAATGGAACTGGCAACCCTGGTCCACGCGGAGAGTGAGACAACATCTGTCATTTTCAATTGTCAGATGAATTATTCACGAAATCCAATGGATTCCACGCGTAAATAGGTCCGTGATAAGAATATAAGTGTTTAAGGTCGATGAAAAATGTAATATGCGCCTCGACAAAGAACTGTATATTTCGCCTGATTGCTAGCCTCGGCCAGGGCCTTGACTATCAATTTGCATACTCGACTGAAATAGACAGTGTTTCGTCCTTTGTACATTCATAACTATCAACCTCACACATTGAAGAACACGTCGAATATTTTTCACGAAGAAATTCACTTTTCAGCCACCTTCTCCTAATGATGGCCTAGCGCCGAAAACGTTCGAGTTGATATAATGAAAACGAGCTTGATGACTGCGCAGGGTACAGGGGTGGGGTGATAAAACACGCACTGCTACTAACAAGAATCATGAAAGAGAAACTAAAAGCCTATGTCATGATTCCCTGTTAATTACATGTATTGATGGTGAGAGAAGTCGTATATCTACTTATCTCTATGAGTTTTTGTTGAATTATTGCTATGGAATGTTGTGTTTTCATCAGAAGCCAGAGAATTGAACACTGAATTCCAATCTGGAATATGTTCATCCTGATACAGATAATCTCCAAGACGGAATAAAGAAAAGACTTCAGAAGAAAAAACGGTGAAATATAATGATAGCATATTTTTTGCCGGAAATGCTGACAACCGTCATCAGCAAATTTCAAATTGTTTTCTCACAATATGAGAATGTATGTTTTGAAATGTTCATAATGATTTGTGAATAACTTCGTATATTTTTCCAGATTGCTGAAAAAGTAAGAATAGCAACACATATTGTTGTCTGATGGTCTAAGCATGAAAATGAACATTGAAGCCCAATATGCTATCCTAGTAGTTGTTCTATATGAACCAGTTTACGTGTCACGAAATCAGAAAACGTGAATTTTGTATAAAGGCCGCTGACTTCAGACACCCTAGTTTGCATACATTCGCCCATTCTTTCTTTCTTTTGTATGCTGTTCGGCTATGCCCCAATGGTATGAAACTTAGTTTGCAGTTTCGAAAGACCTAGGCTTAAAGTGTGGTGCTCAAAAAACCTCGACATTTGTCGACTCATTTTTTTTTTCAGCTCAAAAGTCTTATGAGGCGATTCCCTGGAGAGAAAGTCAAGGAAACCTTGTATGAAGCTGAATCAATCACCAACAATTCGAATTCCATGTCTTCTGTTCAATACAACCCATGATGAAGGACCTCAAACATGTTTGGTTCTCAAAGAGTTGAAATTCGTTTTTGCCCTCCCAACAATAATAATGAATGGCCTTCATTTTACTTGGTGGAGTTCATCATAGCTATTCTTCCACTTTAGGCGGAATATCGTTTTTGATAGTCATCTCACAAGGAAGTTTTTCGGGGATGAAATTCTAGTGTATTTGAATACCTTCAATCAACGCACATCATCGTGCGTGTAACACTATTGTCATCTTTAAAAATTTACTATAACCAGAAATTGGATTTTTAGGAAAATGAAATCTGGCCAATACATTCGCTCTACTAACATATTTTGAGGTAGCCAAAGAAACAATCAATGTTACAACCAACCCTTATGAGGTTTGATCTTACCTGCTATAAAAGTTAATATAATAAAAAAAAAAGAACCGAACAAAAATAATCCAGGGTGTTAGTGTTATCGGGGCAAGATGTTTCATTTGTACTCACGGCTAGCTCAAGTGGAGAAGGGTCGAGATCACAAAAAGAAGTAGATAACCATAAAAACAAAATGAATAAGGGGGGCGCCAGGCAAATTGTGCCCTGAGTACGTTTAGAAAAGTGAAATATCATAAAACTCACCAAAATGCCAATTGAACAATGATCCCCAATTACTGCAACAGTGGCCACTGGACTGAACAATTCTCAAATAAAACAAAATTATTTCAGCTCGAAAAAGTATGCGTATATTTCAAATATGTGAATTAACAATATCAGAAATAGGTTATTGGAACCTATCACTCAATATTCGAATTTGTAGAGTTTTATCTTTCTATTCAGAATCTAGAAAATACAAATACCAAAAAAATAATTATGACACCTGTATTGGATCCTATATTGGACGAAAAGTACTATGTTGGCGATAGAAGATACTGTGATGTATTATTTTATACATAAATATATATTGACGATTCTTCCCCAGAACACTCTGCGTGAGCTCATGCGCAAGTTTTCTTTTTTTTTTTTTTTTTTGAAAATGACGTTTGTTGTATACCAAATCAAAATGAAGTTATCATAGTCCCCCACTTACAATCTATTTCTGCGGGTATTAATTTTCTAACCCTATTTATTAGGTAGATACTCAGATTGTTCGTTTTATCTATATATCATTCTCGACACAAGGAAGCACTGAATGTCTTAAAGTAGAATGGAGAAAAATGTTATCAATGTTCTTTCAAATAACTTGCGTGCTATCCAGCGGATGTGAATCTGAACTGCTCTAGGAGGGGATGTCTACTGGAGTTTCATCCTGTATATACCCAGCAAACAATGAACTGCCGGGAAGTTAGAGGCCCATTGCTTCTATTGCTGGGAGACTGACTTTAACGGCGAATAGTTGATGGCCTTTCAGATTCTTGCCGTCACTTTGCCAGTAAAGCAAATCAGCATTGGGCTTTCATCGGATTACTGACTTTTGCGTTACCGGGAAAGTAAGAAACTTCCACTACTAACTCATGCAATAGGCCAACGGTGGGCATTCATCAGTGATTACTTAACCATCAATCTATACTATCTATATGTATACTTGCAAAATATTTTCTCCCCACTATACCTAGGTAGGTAGGTATTCCTACTGTATGTGAATTTGCATGACAAGATTTTTCAAAAAAAAAAAAAGGTACATCATCACCTAATATACATATTATATACCATCAACATTTTTCAAATTATAATACAATCTGAAATACTCCGTCATACCTACTCCGTGTCGTGTATATTTTTGTGTGGCACGTATTAATTTTCAATACCGAAGAAGCAGGTCTACAGAAAATTTCCGGCCGAGAGCTTCGCTGATATATTTTCCTTGTTTACACTAACTAATCTAACTATATTTTTTATTTTATGCATTATGCACATTTCATGCAATTACAGAGAATTATAAAATTACCGCTGGCGCTGATTGGCTAATTTTTTATTTTGTGTCATCATAAGCTGTGCTTTCAATTTCTAGACACAAAACAATTATTCTGTAGTTGACGGTTGACGTATGACATATAATCTGACATGACAATAATGACATGTTATAATATTTTTATTATTCTGTGATTTTTGTGTTGTGTGTTGTGTTGTTGCTTGACTGAGTGACTAAAAAAGTGTAAAAAACAATAAATAAATAATTCCCGAAAAAAATGGAGAATAATAAGTGAGTATTTTAAACAAAGTTTATTTTGAATGTTATGACATATTTGTATTTTCTACTGCTTAAGCCTACCTTGACCATTTGTTTAAGCGGGATTATGTTGTCATAACCTCACTTTCTTTATTTTTTTCCCGGTTTTATTTCAAGTTTTTGCTTGATAGACTCCTAGACCTAACAAAGTTTATTTTCGTATTTGTTAGGTACCTACACATCTTTTTCGAAGCATGTCTACCGCCAATAAGACCATTGCTTTTAAAATTGCCTCTCATAGGTATAGGAAGATCAAAAAACAAATTGAGAGGTCAATTGCTCTCAGTGATATGCAATTCGAGGCGAACTGTAGTAGAAAAATGTCTAATGAACCCACGCATGAAAGTGTATCTATAAGTGTATTTGATGAGATTGAACCTTGCAATACAGATCAGAGTGGAAGTGTTTCGATTTCTGAATCTGATGCACCTCATACTGATGACAGTGAGAAAGAACATGCAAATGTGGACTATGATAGTACAGAGATTGATGATTCTATCGCAGAAAGTGAGACTGAATCTATTGACTTGCACAGTGATACTAGTGATAGCGGATCAAATGATGACTTGCCTGTGGCCTCAAATATTGAGTCTTCTGTCGACCATGATCCTGTTACATTTTTGAGCAGCTGGGCATTGAAAAATAATGTGACTCACACAGCACTTTCTGAATTACTGTCTTGGTTTTCTACCAAACCAGATATATATCATTTACCACTTGATGCACGAACACTCCTGAAAACTCCTGTGAATTCACGAGTTGAAAAAATGGGGAAAGGTGAATTTTATTACTTTGGCCTGAAAAAATACTTGGATGATATATTCAAAATTTATCCCACTTGCCTTGAAATGAATTTAGATTTCGGCATAGATGGATTGCCCCTCCACAAAAGCACCAACTTGTCATTTTGGCCAGTAATATGTAAAGTGAATATTGATATCAAACTAGATCCAACTATTTTTACTGTGTCTATTTATTGTGGTTCAGAAAAGCCCCCCCCCCTTGAAGAATACTTTGAGAAATTCACTATTGAACTTAAACAATTGCTTAAAGATGGCATAACAGGTATTGAAAATAAAATATGTTAAATCAATATCCGGTCATTTTGTTGTGATACTCCTGCACGTACATTTGTAAAAAATGTGAAAGGTCACAATGCCTACAATGGCTGTGATAAGTGTCATGTAAGAGGTGAGTTCAGCAACCATAGAATGAAGTTTCTAGATGTGACAGCTGCTCCGAGGACTGATGAAGAGTTTGAATTGAAAATTGGTGGTGATGATTGTCATAAAGGAAATTGTCCATTGGAAATATTAAACATTGGTATGGTGTCAAGCTTCCCAGTAGACTATATGCACAACTTATGTCGAGGTGTTATGAGGAAGCTTCTATTTTGTTGGAGAGATGGTAGTAGAACTTACAGGATTTGTGGGGATGCCTCGTTGAGTTTTGAAGAGAGTTCATGTTCAATTCGTGAAATTTGGCCATCAGAGTTCAATAGGCAACCTAGAACAGTCAAGGAATTGGAAAGATGGAAAGCAACTGAACTCCGACAATTTCTTATCTACATTGGACCTGTGATATTGAAGAAAATATTACCTCCACATGTCTATGCTCACTTCATGATATTGAAATTTGCCACCACAATATTGTTGAGCAGTGAATTAAACAAGAAATATAATAACTATGCAGGATCGTTAATGCAAGTGTTTGTATCACATGCTCCAAAGATATACGGCAAAGAAATAGCCACCTATAATTTCCATTCTCTCATACATCTGGCCCATGAGGCAGCAACATTTGGTAGCCTGAATACTATTAGTTGTTTTCCATTTGAGAATCACTTATATGTAATGAAAAACATGTTGAAAAAATCAAATTTACCACTTCAGCAAGTGATTCGAAGAATATCTGAAAAGGAAAATGTTATATCAAAAACTATTACAAAACTGGACGTATCTCTTTGTGGAAAGATTGTTAAGGCTAACAATATTCCAGAAAATTCTAGTGAAGAAATCAAGAACAAATATAGAAACCATGATTTTTATGTTAAAGTGATCTCTGAAAAAAGAAAACTGAAGTTATCCAGAAAACTTGGAAATAATATAGTAATGCTAAAGTGTGGAAAAATTGTCCAGTGTTTATACTTTACAATTATTAATAATGAAGTCATTGTCATTGGCCAACCTTGCAAAATAATCAAACCATTTACAGATTATCCTGATGAGGATTCAAGCATTATTTCTCTTTTAGAAATTGAGATAACTGATGATAACAATTTGACAGACTTCTCTTTTTCAAGAATATTATGTAAAGGAGTGGTTATACCTTATGAAGGAAAATTTGTTTTTTCACCACTGTACCATTTATTATGATACTCACTCATACTCATGTACTTTGTGAGATTTAATGTATATAAGGAATCATCAGGCCAGGTTTTTGTAAAAGGTTTTGAACAGTAGGTGCTTTTTTCAGAATTTCAGTTGGATGAAACTTTTTATTCAATTTCATGAAGAAATTTATTGAGAATAATAGAAATCTTATATTCTAGAGATTATTGTATAGTGGAGTTTCCAGAAGAAGAAAAAGGAGGAGCAACCCCCATGTCAATTATTCCAAGTAATTGGTTAAAAAAAATGGAGATAAGGTGTTATGCAGCTGGCCAAGCAATATAAAAAGCAACTTAGATCTTGCCAGAGCTGTGAGATCAAGACTGCAACTGGATGAAGATGAAGTAGACTGGTGCAAAGTTAATATTGAATACAATACTAGTAAGTATTTTTTTAGAGAGCTCTTTCATTCTGGAAACTAGCTCCCTACACATATCTCATAAAACATGTTTCACCTTATAAATTGAATTGAACGATATAGTTATGTTTTAGATATAAACCATTGATTTCTATTCATACTCCTATCAGAAAGATTATATATAAAATGAATATTTGAAGAAACAATAGGAATATAATAGGCACCTGTGATATTATATTTGGAGTCTGAAATGAGAGATTCTATGACCTACTGGAATTGCAAAAAATATCAAGCCCATATTTCTCATCTCATCATCAATTATATTTTGTTTCAGATGATTATGAAAAAGCTGTATCCAGGCTTAAATTTTTAGAAAATGAAACTGGTCTCTCATCTGCACCATCAGATGAGGAACAAAATCACAACACAACTGTTTTTTCAGCATCAAGACCATCCATGGAACAAAATCACAACACAACTGTTTTTTCACCTAATGAAAGAACACTTGTGCAAGATCCTGAAGAGCCCCTATATATACATTCAAAGAGCTCTTCAAATATGTGAAAAGAATTGAAAGTAAGTCATCTAAGATTAGGAGAACTGTTTCAATACCTGTCCTTTGCCTATTGGTGATTGGTGATATGCAAATTAACTACACAGAGAAAAAATATTCTTTGAATTTAACAAATTTGATTGAAGTTTTATCAATTAATTAATTCATTCATTCATTCATTCATTCATTTATTTATTTATTTATCATTTATTCATTCATTTCAGTTATTCCATTACATTTTTCTTCAATATTACATGATATACACATACATAGGTATATAAAATATAATAAAAATCTCAAGTTTATTGAAAAGGTGGACTGGGTTCGAATCCCAGCGACATCAGAAATTTTTCTGACGGCCCAAGAAAGTGTTTGGGATCACACATTGAAAGGAAAGGCCTATGTCATGCCTTGCTCGCACAAGTCTAGAACAAATTTTGGAACAAAATTTTTTTAGGTTCAACAAACAAGCTTGGTTCTTTCAAAGTTTCCATTTATTTGCATTTCTGATTATATGATTTCTCTAAATTATACATTAATTATTTGAAATGATTCATTTCTGAAGTTTGTAACAAGATTTATAGTCTGTTTCATTTTTGTTGGACCACCCTGTATCAGTGTTTGCTTCTTATTCATTTTGAATATTTAAATGTGCAACTCCAATCTGTGAGAAAATGAGTCAATATCTGTCAAACTTCAAAATCTTAAGTAAATATTAGACAAGTTCCAAAAATTAGCCAAACAAATTAATTTCAAATAAACTGATTACCGCACTGGCAAACCATATCAAATAATTGTGGAGAATAATTTTTGCTGTCGAATATCCTATATTATTCTCAAAGAAATAAAATTCAAACAGATGACATTGTTACAGGTAAAGAATATCTTTTCTCAGCATAACTTTTGGAAATAATCTACAAATTTTCAATATCTCCAGATCTTCCAATTTGTGATTTCTGTGAACAATATACTTTCGATTTTTTACAGCGCTTGTGAAGTCTTCTATCACAAAAACTGAAATACTTTCTGAGAAATTGGATTTAGTGACAAAGGACCCCGCATCGCATCAATGGGAAATTGGCTTTCGGTGAATTTACTCGAATTTTTGATATATTGTAGAACTCGTGGTGCTGATCAAATGTCTCCATTGCACCAACGCTCTAAAATCAACAGTTACGATTATATAGGGTGATAAAGTTGACTTTTGGAGAATTTTAGATAGACTTTGTGAAGACACCTTTTTCATAATTTCGAAACCAAATCAACTGTGCATTGATTGTTCGAATGACCGATACGAATCTACTATGAAGTATAATGATTCCTGCACGTACCAACAATATACAGGGTTGGTCGGAACATAGCGAATAATTCAGTGATTTTCTGAAAAGTGTGCGGTGGAATTTCATTTAAATTCTGTTGTATATACAAATATCATCCTCATTTCGTGATATAAACATCTCCTAATCAGATATATTATATACAAGATGTTTTATTTTTGATAAAGTCACATCCATGTTGGGTACTTATTATTGGCATCCTCAATATGACTTACAACTTGAACAACCTATGATGAATGTCCACTCTGCAAATCCGTGAAATATACGGAGTGGATGAAAACTCAATGGTCTTTGCTAATAACTTCTCAAGAGTAGTATGTGCAGATTCTTGTGACCCATTTTATTGACCCTGTTTCATAACGACATTATAATCAATGAAACTAATTTGAACCATTCGATGCAGTATATTTTTAATAACATGTTAGATCCATAAATTCGAGATGTGGAAGTCCCCTTTGGTCTCGCCTTTCAATAGTGATTTCTCACTTCATTTCATTCGGTTCTCCCTCAAGTCGTACCATATTTTGTATATTGAATGCTGAATGACACGTAAAACAATTCAATCGGCGACGATTAGCCATTTTCAAATAATTATTACTTTGACTTCTATAGGAACTTGACAGATGCAATAGTTGCAAATGACAATGATAAACAGATGAATATAGTTGCTATATGTGCCTGCCATATTACATTATTTGAACCAGAGCAATCTTAACATCATCAAGATGAACATGGAGTCCATCATGAGAAGATATCACCGTAATTGAATGAAATCAAAGATTCATTCGGCATTTGTAAGAATTTATCATTCGTCCTCACTCAATATTCTATTATTTTATATTACCATGATTTCATGATGATATGTGTGTATGTTTCCAACTGATTTATATATTCTTTTGTTAAATATTGTCTGTAGGTTAATTGAGGAGGTGAAATATTCATCATTATACTGGTGAATTTTTGTTTTAGGCTCTTTGATAGTGACATCTTTGGGGCAAATCATCCGATTTGTCCTTACTACATGTTTATTGAAATGATACTCATATTTTCATTTTATAGAAACGAGGTGAGAAAATCCCAAAAAATCTGGAATAATTTATATATTTATGTTTATTGAAACTAATATAGCTGCTTCTATCTTTATTGAGTACGTTATAAACTCGGCTATAAAGTCAGGAGTACTTTTCAGATATAATAACTTTGCCATCGTGTTGATTTTCATACTACGCTTATAAACCAACCAGATAGTATTGTTTGTTACATTAGGTATGTATTTTAGATAGTTGGGTTCATCTTGATATGTATTTTTGTATGTATGTCTGTTTGACTCAAGAGACTGAAACGTAAAATTTACCTTTTTCACTGCACCTGGTAGCTTTTCGTCGGCGGCATATGGGTGTGGGTTGATACCTTTGCTATTTCTCAGATATCTCAATATTTTAAAATCAAT